AGAAAGAAAGAAAGAAAGAAAGAAAGAAAGAAAGAAAGAAAGAAGGAAAGAAGGAAAGGAAAAGGAAGGAAGGAAGGAAGGAAGGAAGAAGGAAGGAAGGAAGGAAGGAAAAAGAAAAAGAAAGAAAGAAAGAAAGAAAGAAAGAAAGAAAGAAAGAAAGAAAGAAAGAAAGAAAGAAAGAAAGAAAGAAAGAAAGAAAGAAAGAAAGAAAGAAAGAAAGAAACAGAGAAAAGAGAGGATGGAGAATTTCCTTCTTGGCTTATTGCCCTCTTTTGAAGTAAATATCCAAAATGAATCTTAAGTATTGTGGGATCCTCAACTCCTGCACAGGTGCTTAATGTACAAAATAGGTATTGGTAGGGGACCTTATTTCACCACTGGGAAAATGTTTACCATACTAAGGTTTCATTAGAGCCCATGAACAAATATAGAAACACAAAGTACTCAGACCATAACCTCCTATGAGGGAACTGAATTTGGGGTTAATGTGAAGACAATTCTTGGTCCTTTCAGTCAGTACCTTTCTCCCATACTTTAGTCCTTCAGAATGTTTCCGTAGTATTATCCTGTGGTTTAGATTCTGTCCCAGAGCTAAACATACCCTGGGGGCTATTGAATAAACAATCCTATTTCTGTCAGACCAATATGTATGAATAGCTCACTGGCCTTCCTTTCCAAGTAAGACACTGCACATGAAATGCTCATATTGTAGTCATTTTCCTCCAAGGACCACACCATATCAGTAAATCTCTCTTTGGAAGATCTGGTACCTGAACTCTGAAACTCAGGAATTCTTTTATTTTAATGCCTTACTGTATTGCATTTTATTTATTTAGATAGTTTTTGTTTTCAACATTCACTTTTATAAGATTTTGAGTTCTAAATTTTCTCCCCCTCTCTCCCCTCACTCCTCCCCAAGAAGGCATATGATCTGATATAGGCTCTATTTATACATTCAAATTAAACATATTCCAACATTAGTCACATTGTAAATAAGAATTAGAACAAAGGGAGAAACCATGAGAAAGAAGAAACAAAAAAGAGAGAGAGAAAGAGAGAGAGCAAGCAAATAGTGTGCTTCGATCTGCATTCAAACTCCATAGTTCTTTCTTTGTGATCTGAAGAGCTAAGTCTAACAAAGTTGGTCATCTCACAATGTGGCTGGTTACTGTGTACAATGTTCTCCTGGTTCTGCTCACTTCACTCAGCATCAGGTCATGCAAGACTTTCCAGGTTTTTCTGAAATCCGCCTGCTCACCATTTCTTATGAAACAATAGTATTCCATTATATTCATATACCACAACTTACTCAGCCATTCCCCAACTGATGGGCATCCTCCTCAATTTCCAATTCTTTGCCACCCCAGAAAGAGCTGCTATAAATATTTTTGTACCCGTGGGTCCTTTTCTCATTTCTGTGATCTCTTTGGGATACAGATCTAGTAGTGGTATTGCTGGATCAAAGGGTATGCACAATTTTACAGCCCTTTTGGCATAGTTCCAAATTGTTCTCCAAAATCGTTGGATAAGTTCACAATTCCACCAACAATGCATTAGTGTTCCAATTTTCCCACATCTTCTCCAACACTTGTTATTTTCCAGTTTTGTCATGTTAGCCAATCTGATGTGGTGTGATATGGTGTCTTGGAATAGTTTTAATTTGCATTTCTCTAATCAACAATGATTTAGAGCATTTTTTCATATGAATATAGATAGCTTTACTTTCTTCATCCAAAAACTTCCTGTTCTTATTCTTTGACTATTAATCAACTGGGGAATGACTTGCATTTGACTCACTTCTCTATATATTTTAGAAATGAGGCCTCTATCAGAGACACCGGATGTAAAAATTGTTTCCCAGCTTTCTATTTCCCTTCTAATCTTGGTTGCATTGACTTTTTGTGTGTAAAACCTTTCTTAATCTAATGTAATCAAAATTATCCATTTTGCATTTCATAATGTCCTCTATCTCTTGTTTGGTCATTAATTCTTCCCTGCTCTATAGATCTGACAGGTAAACTATTCCTTGTGCTCCTAATTTGCTTATAGTTTCACCCTTTATGTCTAAATTATGTACTCATTTTGAACTTATCTTGGTATACAGTGTAAGAAGCTGGTCTATGCTTAGTTTCTGCCATACTGTTTTCCCATTTTCCTAACCTATTCCATTGATCCACCACTCTATTTCTTAGCCAGGACCAAGTAGTTTTGATGATTGCTGCTTTACCACACAATTTTAGATCGAAACTCAGGAATTCTTGAACTTACAGCTAGCCACAAGGCTAATGCCAAAGCTGATGCCACCCACAAAATCTCCCTTTTCTGTCTAGATGGCTAGATTACAAGATTAAGCAGGAGCCTACTGCTTGCTCAGTATTTATGCACTACGTAAAAATTATAGGATTTTCAGTTCCTTGTACCCTCTTTTCCACCCCTCTACTACCATACCCACAGGAGCAAAAGAGAGCACACACAGGCCTATGGGACATAGTTTCCCTTTTATCCCCCATGGCTTGTCAAAGTTAAAGAACTGATCACTATATGACCAACCTCCTCACAAAAGTCCTCCTCATTCTAAGCTAGGCTAGTTCTCAGAAAGCAGATTGTCTGTTGCTAGGAACATACCTAAAACCTTTCAGCAAAGAACCTGCCAGAGCATATGAACCATTGCATATAGCCTTTAAAAACCCAGGGTCACCTCCACTCATGATGAGGCATCTGATTAAGACTTCATTGAGATATAAAGACAAAAAGAAATTGAAGGAATATGCATAGGCAAAAAAGATGTAAAAATATTTCCATTCATAGATGTTATTGTGCTTTATTTAGAGAAATACTTCTCAGAGTGTGATCTGAGAGCCTCTGGGGAGTCCAAAACAATTTTCATAATAATACAAAGATATTTTAATTACTAACATGGCAAATGTGGATAGCTATATCCCATATAAACAAAAGCTCTTTGGGGGATCCTCAATCATTTTAAGAGTGTAAGAGAGTGCTGAGACCTATCATTTCATTTCATCTTCACAACAATCCTGGGAGGTAGGTGTTACTATATTGTCCTTATTTCATAGATGAGGAAACTGAGGCAGATAGAAGTTAGGTAACCCTCCCAGCATCATAAAGCTAATGTCTGATCCAAAATTTGAACTGAGATCTTTCTGACTCCAAGTCTAGCGCTGTAGCTGCTGTATCATCTAGTTGCCTCTAGATGGAGAAATTCAACCCAAAAGAATCACAAAATGTATACATTATTAAGACATTAGCCTACTAAGGCACATGCAGGATTTAAATAAATACCCCTAAAAACCCTTTGCAAAAGAAAATGAAGTTTTATATAATTATAGAGACATGTATTGTGTCAAAATCACCTAATATAATTTACAGACTTATGCCAAGCTACAAATGGGTTTTCTTAATAGAATTAAACAAAATAACAAAATTTCTTTGATGGAATGAAAAGTCGAGAAACCCAAAGGAAATAATTAAAACAATAAGGGAATGAAGGAGGTCTAGAAATACCAAATCTCAAATCATATTATAAAACAGGAATTGTTAAAAAAAAAACCAACTATTTTGTACTGTTAAAAAAATAGAAAAACAGATCAGTGGTACAAACTACATGAGCCATCAAACACAGCCCTTTCTTCTTCAAAATCAGGAACATAAGGTACTAGAGCAAAGAACAACTGGAAAAACCTGAAAAATTTGTCAGAAATCATCTAGACAAGGTACATAGACCATAAACTAAAATAAGCTCCAAATGAATATGTAAACTAAAAAGATCCTCTTATTTAAAAAAAAATAGAGAAAGGAGAATGGAAAGAGGTGCTTTTCATTTCTATGGTTAGAATCAAGCAAATAATAAAGGTTATATAAAAGATAAAATAATCTGTTGAGGAAAGTACTAGTGTCAAATATCTCTGATGAAATTCTAATATCCAAAAAAGGTAGCAAATTGACAGAAACATATAACCAAGGGCCATTATCTAAGAGATAAATTGTCATAGGATATAGACAAATTATTTTCAAACAAAGACATGCAAATATCAATCATCATACAAAAACTATTCCAAAGGACTAATAACATGAGAAATGCAAATTAAAACAACTCTAAGATTTCACCTCATACCTATCAAATTGGTAAAGAGGCAAAAATTAGAAAGTCACTAATGGAAGAGCTATAGTATGAGAAGACAGGCACACTAATAATTATACTGTTGGTAGATCTGTGAATTAATCAAACGACTCATGAAAACAAATCATTATTTTGCATGACAAATCACTCTAGTGCTTATATAACTTTTGATTCAGAGATCCTAGAAATGGGACTATACTCCAAGGAAGAAAAAGGCAGAAAGGACCTATTTAAAAATATTAATATTAGTCCTTGTTTGTGATGGCAAAAAAACTGCAAACAAAATGGGAACCCATCAATTGGGAAATGGTTGAACAAAGTGTGGTATATGAATACAGAATATGACTGCCCTGTGGAGAATAACAAATGCAATGAATTAAGAAAAAACAAAAGAAGACTTCAAGAACTAATGAAGAATGAACAATTGCTGTCTCATGAATGTCACACTTCATCTCACAGCTCTGGGTGTTCTCTCTGGCTGTCCCACAGATCTGGAATAATCTTCTTCCTCATCTCTGCCTGTTGGCTTTCTAGGTTTCCTTTAAGTCCCAACTAAAATCTCATTTTCTACAGGAAGTCTTTCTTAATTCTTGTGCTTTCCTGCTTTTAATTATTTCCTATTTATCTTATATAGTTTGTTTGTAGCTAATTGCTTGTTTTCTCCCTAACTATGAAGCACTCCCCTGCTCCTTCTGGGCAGGGATGGTCTTTTGCCCCTTTTTGTATCCTCATGATTCTATGACACTTTACTTAATTCCCTCTATCTACCTTCCCTCCCATGAAAGTCCTCTCTCTCCCTTTGCAAATAGTCCTAGAGCATCTTGTCTGCATCTCTCCTTTGCCCCCATGACACATTACTTACTTTGCACTACACTTTTCTGAATCCATGTTGCATCCTCAGTAGAACGTAAGCTCTTCCAGGGCAAAAGATATGCCATCATTTATCTTTGTTTCCTCAGCACCATGTCCACAGTAGGCAACTCATTGATGTTTGTTGAATTTAATTCCATTCAACTGAAAAGAAGACTGAATAACTTCTGAGTGTTTACCTGGAGGACTCTATCATAAAATAAAATGGAATGTTATTGTATGACCTGTATAACAGCTATTTTAGCAGCTCAAGGGACCTTCCCCCTTTCCTGGAATCTCTCTTTTGTTGCTACAGTGGTTACTGTTGCCAGAGATGTAACTCTGGAAAAACAAGTTATCACTATTATATATTATAAGATTATAATTATAATATAGAAAATATAAGCATATGATATGTTTATATTGTAATTTGCATAATAATTTATGTTACATCAATTAATATCAATTCTAGTATATATACATACATACCTATGTACATATATGTGTATGTACACACATATATGTATATTATATGAATGAATTTACAGTTTTGTAAAAAATCATAGATTTATAACTCTAGAACATATGTGAATGAAGGCTTGAGTCAACAGCATTAGGGAAAACCTCATCACTTCTCAGGGGTACCCCTAGAACCCTGAGAGAGAGATGTAGCCTTGTTAAGAGACCCAACTGAACAATAAGAGTGGGAATCAGTATAAAAGATCCCCAGAGCTTATAAAGGCTACATTTGTATTCCAGTAACTAGAACAATGCTTCATTTGCAGTAGCTACTTAAACATTTGTTTGATTAAATCAGTAAATGATTAGAATACAAATGGCCTTGTCTTCTTGCTATAAATCTGCTATTATTACTGTGCCATCTGGTCACATTGGCTCTCAAGAACAGGTTAAAATGATGCAATTCCTCATTACGACCTCTTGGTGGCTTGGGAAGTGAATCATGCATACATAAAATTAAATTGTCTAGAGAATACAGCATCTGTGGAGAGTAGAGTATTTCACACAACATTTCTTAATGGTTGCACATGAATATTGTTTGAAATTATCATGTCATTTCAGTTGAATTATTCACCAACTGGTTCATCTATGGCATTTAACTGTTTTAATTCTCTCAAGTACTGGAAAAACAAATAAATTTTGAGTCTCATATTTTAAAACTATAAAAAAAACTTTCTTTCTGCCATCATATGTCATATTTTCACAGTCAAAACATTTATTAAGCCCCTACTATGTGTCAGGCATTGTATTTTCTGTATTAAAAGTGTGAATGGGGAAGGTTTAAAAGAATTGAACTGATCCCAAGGTCCTGTGAACTAAGAATTCTGAATATGATCATGTAAGTCATTACTAGACATTTATAAGAAGATTCCACAGGGATACAACTCCCCACCTCCACCCACACAACCTTCACTTCACCACCCCTCACAGAATCTCAACATCACCAAAAGCATGGGGATAGGACAGACTTAGGAGTCTCCAGCCCATCCCATACCTAAGCAACAATCCCTTCTCCATTACAACCAACAAGTGGTCATCCAGCATCTTCTTGAGGATCTCCTGGGAGGGGAAACATCTACCTCTTGGAGCAGTCCATTCCACTTCCTATTATCTCTGTTAGAAGGTTTGTCCTGTTATATATTCTAAATGTGCCTCTTTACAGCTGACTCCTACTTTTACTCTCCTAGTTCAGGAACCAAGAAAAACAAATCAAATATATCTTCCAGATGACCATTCTTCAAATACTTGAAATCTATCTTGAATCTTCTCTAGGCCAAACTCGGAATTCACTTAATTACTCTTAATAGAGGCATTGAAGTGGTGGAAGTATACGGGCTTTCATGGTGGTGTGGTGGATAGAACACTGGGCCTGAACTCAGTAAGACCTGAGTTCAAATCCAGCCACAGGCATTTACCGACTGTATGAATCTGGGCAAGTCACTAAACCTGTTTGCCTCAGTTTCCTCAACTGTAAAATGGGGAGAATAGTAGCACCTATTTCCTAGAGTTGTTGTAAGGATCAAATGAGATAATCTTTATAAACTATTTGTCATGCAGTTGGCACTATACAAATGCTAGCTCTTATTACTAGTTCTTCATATGAGTTCATACACAAGGCCCTTCATCATCTTCATTCATCCCATCTAGACACTCTCTAGCTTATCAGTGTTCTTCCTAAAATACAGAACAAAACAATACTCTAGATAGGGTCTGCTAGGGCAGAATACAGTGGGTCTATTATCTCCCCTCCCCTCAGTGTTGGACAATATGTTTCCCTTAACATTATGTAAGATTGCATTCATTTAACACTATGTAGGGTTGCATTTACTTTCTTGGTAACAGATCACATTGTTAATTCATAGTAAGCTTACATTTGACTAAAACTCCATAACCTTATCAAAGAAACTACTGTCTATCTGTGCATCCCCTATCTTTTTATTGTAAAGTTTATTTTTATAACCCTAGCGTGAGATTTCACATTTGTCCCTGGAAAATTCCATTTCATTAGGTTTGATACAATGTTGTAGCCTCCTAAGATCCTTTAAAAAACCTGCAATTCAGAATGTTATTAACCCTCCTGGCTTTGTGGGATCTGAAAATATGACAAATATTCCATTTATGCCTTCACCCAGTGTGTTAATAAGAAAGTTGAACAGGAAAGGTAAAAGCATAGATCCCTGAGGCTCTTCACTACAGGCATCCTTCCAGGTGGCATCAAACCACTGACTATTCACTGGGTCTCGCCATTCGACCAATTTAAAATTCATCTAATTGTATGGCCACATAACACAGACCTCTCCATCTTTTCCACAAGTGTACTCAGGGAAATATTATCCAATGCTTTGCTCAAATCTAAGTAAACTACGTCTACCACTTTGCTTTGATTCACCAGTTTAGTAAACCTGTCAAAAAAGGAAATAAAGTTTGTCTGGCATGAGCTGTTCTTGATTAAAACAGCTCAGGTAGATAGACAGACAGACAGAAAGATGATGCATTTTTAAGAGCCTACTGTGTGCCAGACTGTGCTAAATACTGGGGATACAAATACAAGCAAGCAAGATATGCAGGCAAGACAGTTCCTGCCCTCAAGAAGCTTACTTTCTAAGGAACAGCACATAAATGAAGACCTGGAAAGTTGGGGGAAGAGTGAGAATAGGAGATTACATAGGCAGGTGCATGGCATGAAAATGGCCAAAACATACAATGGATACTGGCAAGGCAAGGCCAAAGCTAGCCAAGATGTTTTCTGAAGTCCTTTTCTTATTTCTTGGAATCCTCACAATGTTTCCTTCAGGCACTGTGTAGCTTTCCTCTGGGCCCCTTGTAGAGTATTAGAGCTACCTTTCCTCAGTTTATCGTTTGTCCTTGGCTCCCAATATGGATACTGCCAAAAGTCACCAAAGTTCCAAGGACACTGCTAGGAAACAAATGAGAAGTCTAAATCTTACTGGTTCTTCAAAGTTTACAAGGTCTTCCTTTGGTCAAGGGAGCCATTTTCTCCTCCTCTTGACCCCAAGTGATTCCCTCTCCAGAGATTACTGAGAACTACTCTCTTCTGGCCCATCACTGGAATGTAATCACTGTTTTCTTTTAGATACTCACTAACCATCTCCTTAATAATATAGTCCAGAACTCTGGTAGGAATTATTGCACCATTAGTCTAGAGACCAAAGGGACTTTAGATGTCATAATCCAATACTGTCATTTTATAGAGAAGGAAACTGAGTCCCTAGAGAGTTTAGTAAGTGACAGGGCCAGGATTTTATTTTAGGCCCCATGTCTCCAAGTTCAGTATTCTTTCCACTCACAGCCCTCCAAATGAGGAGCTGAATCAAAGTCAAGTTCCTTTGAATACAGTTTATAGATTTATAGATTCTATTCTCTTCCTTTTTTTGAAAATGAAGAGTTCTCCTCCAAACATGTGGTGCTTTTCCCATTCTTCACTTACAAGGCAGGCAATACTTTGAGACATAAACCCAGAAGAAAAAAAAAGAACCACTTTCCAATGGAATAGGGAAGAAAATGAAGGCAATCCACCCCTATATTCTTTCAGGAAGTTTATATTTGATTTTTGAGGGGGCCCTGTATCCTCACCTTCCAGGTATGTTTTATTTCATTTCCTTTTGATAAGATTTTACTAAACAATATCTAGCTAACACAAAAGACAGAATAACGATGTAGGGAGAAAAATGAGGATCATTCAGCATGCTGGTTCAGATTTAAAGATGTGATAGGACAATTTTGACTAATTTGGTCTAATGGAGGGGTTCTTCCTCTCTTTTGTGACATGGACTCCTTGTGCAGTCTGGTGAAGGCTACAGCCCCCTTCTCAAAATAATTTTAAAATTAGTAATTAAATGCTAAATTTCAAGTAGAGGTTAGTGAAGACAAAGATGTAATTTTAAATTTTTTTCCCATCCGAGTTAACACACCTTTTGAAATATGTCCATGGTCTTCTTTGGGGGAATCCATCCACTAAAGGTTAAGAATTTCTAGACTAGTGGAAAGAGTATTATTTGAAAGAAAATCTGGATTCAAATTCTAGTTCTCACACTTAGCTGCTTGACCATAGACAAATCATTTGATCTCTCTCAGCCTTAATCTTTTTATCTATAACATGGAGATAATAGTTTCCATATTAACAGCCCCACAATATAATTTTGAGGGGAATACTTTGTGAATCTTACAGAAACTATATAAATGTGAAATATTGTTGTTGTTGCTGTTATCCACCACCTCTACCAAGCTTCCCTGGGCCTTCATTCTACCCCCATGATACGTAGATTTTCCCCACTATGATGCCTATTTATCCCTTTTCTCTTTGCAACAGACATTTGACTTTTCGTAATTACAGAATTATACAGCCAACAATGGGTTTTCAAGATCTTCCAGTCCAAACCAATGTTTACAGACAAAGAAAATGAGGTTTAGGGAGACAAAGGGATTTGCCCTGATGAGTGTCAGAGCCAGGACTCAATCTCAGCATGACAACCAGGAATGTTTGTACCTGAGACTAAAAAAGCAATTTGATGGGAAGGTGACAGACATATACAACAAGGTCACACAGCTAATAACTGGCAGAGCCAGGATAATAAGAACCTTCAAGTCTGAAGGGTTGTCGGATGGGAAAAAAGACTAGGTTTGATCTGCTTGGCCCCAGAGGACAAAACTAGGAATAATGCCTAGAAGTG